AGTAGACTTACAGAATCTACTCAATAAAACTGAGGTTATAATTTGTGCTTAATTTGTTTGGGTTGCTTTCATCCTATATGTTGTGCAGAGGCTACCTAAATTTAACGTAAATGATTTAAGGTAAAGTCTATCTAACTTTTGTCAATACATTGCACAACCAATTACATATAAAAAGTGAGTAACATGAACTCTTGATTGTTATTGTGCGATTAAAACAGCTTGCATAGCAAATGTTTGCAATGAACAAGTAAAAGGTTCACTGCACTGACTTTAGCTTATTGCTTGTTTTGCTTGAGTGGAGCAACATACTTTCAAATTAATGCATGTAGCCACCCACAACCTAACCATAAGCTCCACTTTTCAGCAGTGGCAAATTAAAAACTTAAACATAACAGAAACTCCTTTAAATGTCAAACATAACTGAAAATTAAACACTTAACACAAATACATAAAATATCACTTCATTTCAACATTCATTCTCCTGGTCCAGTCCTATGCAAAACATTCTTAGAACTAAACATCCATTGCCCAGTTTCAGTTAGGGAAAGAAAATTGATTCAGGTAGTTTCAACAAATTAAGTAGAAACTAAATGTTCAGCTATTGTGTTGCTTTTAAGTGAATGTTTTTTTTTTTTGTTGCAGTGTACTTTTTCATTCAACACTTGAAAGCTGACCTTCACTGGTTATCCAGCATTTCACTCTGGTGTTAAAGGCTAAATAGCATTAGGGAAGTTGGCTAGCCTTCAGTTGTTGTGTCGCTGGGCAAGATATCGCATGTAATGTGAATCTTTTGAGAGACACATTATAGAGGAGGGGGTTGTTGACCTGGATTAAACCTGTCTCGAGCACAGCACAATAGCCTGCATTTTCAATGATGCAGGTCATTGATCAGAGCGCTGGGCGCCAGGCTAGCAGGCAGCAGCAGTATCCATCTCCATCCAGAAACCTTAGCCTGGAAATGTGATGCCTATTATTCTACCCATTCTGCATTGTGCTTGGGGAGAAAAGTCGTTTTCAAGTCCCACAATTATTTGGGTTTCATCCAGTGTTGGACTGTATTTTGATGTATTTATAGTAAACTTGTTTTGCATGTAATGTGTTTAGATACAGCCACATTCAATGTGAGGTTTGTTAACTTGTATATGTTGAAAGTTGTATGTGTGAAGCTTTAGGTCTGTAGTTCTTAGTCCTCTGAGAACCACTGGATCCTTTGAAAAAGTGCCATGGTTGCCCTTGTGTGGACTTTAAAGGATCAAAACACTCTAAAATAATATATACTTATTTAATAATATATACTTATCTTAATATATATACTGTTGTTCAAGTTAATCGACAATGACAGCACACATTTGTTATGCCAAAAGTACCATTGTTTTGATATTAAAATGAATATGAAGATGTATTAATGATAATAATGCAAGTTTTTCATACAGTTATGTCATGACAATATTTAATTTAGGCTTTTATTCACATATAGGCATAGATCAATGAACATACTTAGAGCTTATCTAGTATGGTAAAGCAGCTCACAAACCTCATGTGTAAAACACGTTTGAGCTTCTGTTTACATTATTTGATGTGCTTTATGTATGTACGTTAATGAGTGGTTATATGTGAATAAAAGTTTAACTTTAATGAATCCTCTTATTATAACCAACAAAGTGTAGATAAGAGATTCAGTATGCCTTGTTGCTTCTTTGAGCTAGAATGCTAAAGTCAGTGAGCTTTCATTAAAAAAAGCTTCAGTTCTTATAAATGGAGAGTTTTGCTTACTTTTTATATAATCCTTTCACGGTTTAGGCTGAATCATTTTTTTTCTTTAATGTTGCAAAGAGGACCAACGTTTCAGGAGGGATGACTGTATTTAAATGTGGTACTAAATCCACTCAATTATAGTTCCACGTGTGAGACTCTGATGTAGGGCTGGGCGATTTGGCAAACAATTTAAATCTTGATTTTTTTTTCAGAACGTTTGACCGTTTCCCGATTTTTAAGATTTTTAACTAGTCAACTTGAAAATGTAACTACAACATGATTCAAGTAACCCTCTAGTTAAATGTTAAACAAATCACTTGTTGAATATCTTAGCAGAAATTATGCATGAACTACAACTACATCTTGTACAAACTTGTCTTATACATATTATATGTTCAGAAATAATACGAGGAAAATGCTTTAAAAACCTCGCAAGTCAAGGTAATTCAAATTCAAAATGACTTAAGGTATAACACAAGTAGATATTATTAACTGTAGGCTAAATGTTCTGTAAAAATAACAGCAGCTTTCAGCCTGTGATGCAAACATGAAACATCAGACATAGAGTAGTAGTTCTTTATAGGGTTTTTTTTTATTTATTCGGTTGCGCTGCTTTTCCATTGTTTTTCTGTGTAAACATGGACACATTTGACTGTTGCATTAGCGTCTCTTGCAGCGTCTCATGCATGGAACGGCAGTCTAGAAATGCAGCGCTCAAATTAAAAGAAGTTCACTCCCATCTTCTTGCATTTTTTCCTATTCCACTGCCCGCGTTGCATCTTTTTCAACACAAAAGCTCTTTCTGTGTGAATGGCACCTAGCGATATGAGCGCGTCACATGTGAGTGGTTAATAACGTGCCGAGACATGTGGTTGGATCGTTCTTTTCTCTTTGCTGTTATCATTGGTAGTGCTGGGAGGTATGACCAAAAATTTATATCACGGTATTTTTCAAAATTATGACCAGGTGTTAACCATATTTTCTACTGATTGAGAGAGGAAATACTGCAGTATATTGACTTAGAATGCCCATTTTACTGTCATGAGTGAATATTGTCAAAAAATACCACACTAAATAGTGACTAAACACAACCCCTTTTAATGTTAACCAGGAGTCACTCTCATTTATAATCGCGGCATCGTCTGATAAAATCAACATGCATCTACACTAAAGAGCGGCTATGCGGTTGTTTTGGCTATATTACTTTTTTTCTCATGCGGCGCACTGCCTGCGTCTTGAGTAACAAACTAAAAAAAACAACAAACAAAAAAGTGCATGTGATATTAACAGATGAACTACACTCATATTTATAATTCCAAACAATCAGCAAGCGACAGGTGCTTGGAAATGCTGTTTTGTACTGCTCTGCCGCTCACTGCACAGAACAGACGCCGAGAGAGGTGACACTTCTCCGGTTAAGTCAGACCTCGCATTCGCGGGACAGCACTGGCGAAATCTTCCAACTGAACCATAGCTAAGGTTTATCCAGAAAAGTCGCTAGGTATGTCAGTATGAATATTCTATGGGAAAAAATGCGCTAAAAGGGTCTGAAAGTTGCTAAATCTAGTGCTAAAGTCGCGCTCGTGTGTGTGTGTGAGACGCGGGAGCTGATGGCAGGGGGTGGTGGATATTTGTGGCGGTCAGTGTGGATATTGTGGATGAGTTCTTCTGTGTCATCACGTTCTATTAGTTCTACAGCTTCAGTTTCGGAACTTTCACACTTAGTAACACATACAGCTGTTCCCTCACCACAGTGCAACAGTGAAAAGGGACCCCTTTCAAACAGTGTCACGTTCCGAACGTTGTTTAAGCGACATACATCGGTATTGTGGTAGTTTAAAAATTCATATCATAACAAAAATAAACACCGGTATTCGGTATGAACCGGTATACCGCCCAGCACTAATCATTGGCATATTGTCAAAGTGTCTAATTCTAACGTTTGGTAATATTTCTATTCAAAATCGTGATTCCTCGATTTCTAAAAAATAAGATCTTAGCAAAACATTAAATGAAATTGCAATGATTGACGTAGCGATAGCCGTGGCATGATTTTGGCATCTTGTGGCTTTGAACAATAAAACATGGATGCAACAGTTTAACCTGTTTGAAGTTCTCTGTTTTTGACCAAAGTGACAAAAGATGCATTATGTCTGGCAATTTTAGTAGGTTTAAACCGTGCACGCTGTGGACTGGTTTAGATGTGTAATCTATCTGAAGAACATATGTGCCATCCCAACTTTCTTTCTTTTTCTATTTATTTTATTTACATGATGTAATCAATTCAAGGAGCTAATTTAGCAATGTGTTATGCTTTTATTCTAATACACTGCTAACAAAACCACAGTGACACCAAGAGAGACATGGTGCAACACGGCTCTGGTGTGTAAAACTTGAAAATGCTGTTATTTGTTTTCTCTGGAAACACAAATCTAGTTGAAACTAAATGTTTATTATATTTTACAAGATATGGTATGCTAATGCTGTTAAACGTAAAGTGAATTTTGACATCTACTGTAAAAAGAAGGCAGCACACATTGAGCAGACTTTTTATACACTTTAAGGTTCAATTTAAAACAAATAAATAATGGATATGCTCAAAACCTGTCTACAATGGATCTCCATAGAGTGTGCTATGTGTAGAGGGGTTTTATATTTAACATTTTTTGGTTCACCTCTTGATCGTGTCTGTTGTAGGGAACTAGATTTTGTAACCATAGTGACGAGCAGCCGAGCACTTGCTGCAGGCCACACTGAGCCTCCATTGGCTGCTAGATGCGTGTTGACATGTTGGTTAGTGCTGGTGGGGGAAGGGTGGAGACTCGCACACTGACCCGCACTGTCATGAAGATCACTAACCCATATATCAGCACTCATCCTGTGAGTAAAAGAGTCTGTACTGCACGATAACACAGTGTCAGACAGTTTCTGACTTTTTGAAGTAGAAGTGCTTGTTTGAAAGAGAAGATGCAATTTAAACCCACTGCCAAATGCTGCACATTCACAAAACTCTTTTTTTCTTTTTTTTTTTTTTAAAACCTTGATCCTATCAAAAGAACAGTTTACTAGTTAGATGAGCTGGTTAAGACTCACAGGTTTGCTGTGCTCTTGGTTTCTGCTTTGCACACCGATCTGAAAACAGTTCAGGCTATAGAAATGACTGTTTGGAGTGTTGTGTGTGTTTGTAGAACAGTATTGTTCAGCTATTGTGGAATATTAGCAATATTGTCTTGTTTGTGTTGCAGGTCTCGTAGTCGAGGTCGTGCACAGGCCGATGATGAGGACAGCATGGATGCCACTGATTTCACACCAACTCCAGACGTTGACATTGCATTGGAGATGGGTGAGATTATTATTTATTTATTTATTTTTATTAAACCCACTGCCAAATGCTGCACATTCACAAAACTCTTTTTTTCTTTTTTTCTTTTTAAAACCTTGATCCTATCAAAAGAACAGTTTACTAGTTAGATGAGCTGGTTAAGACTCACAGGTTTGCTGTGCTCTTGGTTTCTGCTTTGCACACCGATCTGAAAACAGTTCAGGCTATAGAAATGACTGTTTGGAGTGTTGTGTGTGTTTGTAGAACAGTATTGTTCAGCTATTGTGGAATATTAGCAATATTGTCTTGTTTGTGTTGCAGGTCTCGTAGTCGAGGTCGTGCACAGGCCGATGATGAGGACAGCATGGATGCCACTGATTTCACACCAACTCCAGACGTTGACATTGCATTGGAGATGGGTGAGATTATTATTTATTTATTTATTTTTATTATGAGTTTGCTGTGGCAGGTCTGTATCTACAATATTGTAGTGAAATTAATTTGTGTATCGAGTTGTGAATTTGAAGTCTGAAATTGTTTTGTTGTGTATTCCATTGTGCAAATTACATACAATCACGCAAAAACAAATGTTTAAGTTTGCAAGTGGCTAAAAATGCATTTTTTTCATATCCTGTTAACTGGAACCTTTCACATTCTTCTTGGACCTTCTTTAGTGTTGAGCCCTGGATGAGATGAAATGACTTGGCACTGAAAAAACAACATCACAAGCCCTGTTTTTAAGATGCATGTTTGTCTTTCCGATCACAAGTGCACAACTCTAAATACAGATGTAAACAGGGTCTGAAGTGTTTTGATTTTGTTCACTTTCGACCACTTCCAGAGGTAGTTAAAAATTCATTCAACCAGATTGCTTTCATAGTGTAGATGCTCATGTGGTTGAATACGTTCGAAGTAAACATTGAAGTTTTGAAGTAAACCCACTCATTGTAAAGGGAGACGCAAAGACGCGCAAAGATCTCTCTCTCTCTCTCAAATTGGCAATATTTGAGAAAAAAGTTTTGCAATTTCTAATTATCTAATTATTGATTCTAATTATCAATGTCTATGGTGGTTATCGCCCTGATCAGACATGAAAATATGTTGTGGCATCGTGCAGTCTGTAATGATATGACGGTAGCGAACTTTAACGATTTTTTGCTAACATTTCTTTGTTTCTATTTTAGTTTCTGTTTTTCTTATAGTTATAATAAGACCACAAATTATTTAAATATAATGTAAGGAATAAAAAAATACACAATCACAATTCAGAGCCAAATAAAAGGCTTTATTTAATCGGAGTGTCAATTTACATTGGACTAGTCAAGACTCCAAAAGACGGCTGTCAAAGGCTAGCTCCAGTGGCGTAGATGGTAAAGTCGTAGTCTTTTTGACGCGATCGACCAGGGTTCGAACCCACCTTTTGCCGAACTTTTTTTCCTCCCTTTTCAAATCTCATATCACATCGGAAAGGCATTTATTTTCAATAAAAAAGAAGGAAATAATAAAAAAGTTGAAAATAAAGTATCGGGTAGGGTTAGGGACGGTGTAGGGATGGTTTTATTGTCCCAATAAGGTGGCATCCATTTAATAATTTGAATTAAAATTATAATTTACGCTCAATACGTTGTTATTGCATACTGTTTTATAATGTATGTAAAGCGGCTTTACTGACGAGATGCGCATGAAAATCGCATACGATTTTTTGCACAGCCCTATGTACTACAATACTAAGGTGCAGATAATTGCCACTATTTGTATTAAGTAGTATAAATAGCAGAAAATCCTGCTATTTTAACATGGTGTAAATAGAATCTATAGCTATTTGCACTTAGTGTAAATAGCATATCGCTAAAAAATACAGCTATTTTCACTTAGTGTAAATAACATCAAATTGCTATTTACACTTAGTGCAAATAGCCGCTGCCTTATTTAATAGGTTTATGGACACTTAGTGCAAATAGCCGCTGCCTTATTTAATAGGTTTATGGGCTTCAGATTTGATTGTGCCATTTGGAGAAAGCTCTTGTCAGTTTTACATGCAGTATGCATTAAGCAGTCTGTGAATGTTCCATGTTTGCGTTGTCCGAGGCGGAGGCTACTATTTTTGCAGTATCCGTCATCATGACTCTTTCTGTTTTGTGCACTCCATTAATTTGTGACATTAGCACAGGGTGGTCTAAACTGTGATCATTCTCCAACCTAGACTCTAGAAGATTTTTTCCATGAAATCTTCAACGAGAACAGTCATTTCCTGCTAATCATTACACAAAAGTATTCCTGCTCTGGGCTGTAGGATTTTCTAAGGGTGAACATGGTTGAACAGAATTATTGCTTGATATAATTTTTTTTTCTTTCTCTAATAACAAAGGCCTGTTTTTATTAAGCTGTAGATGTAGTTTTGTGTCTAGACAGTAAGAAGCAGCACTAAAATAAAGATGCTGCACACACTTCAGTGGCTGAAAGATTTTTTATTTTTTTTTTCATTTTGCAGCACTTAATTTCACAACAACCCAAAACTCCCCAAAGGGGATGAGACAGAGTCAGAATAACCCTCAGTCTATCAACCCAAAAGTGCAAACATGTAGTTCTGACTCCAAATACTTCTTACGAAATGTATTTTTGTTGGACTTTTTTTTGTCTCATTCCAAAGCCCCAAGCTTCAATTTATTTATTGTTGTAAATTTGACATCGTTCTCTTTTTTCCCCTTTTAATAAAATGTACTAATGCGAATAAAATTGTAAAATAATTACACTCTGTCCTAAACTTCTGAAGAAATTCTGTCTGTCTATGTCTGTCTCTTTTTGAAAGAAATCACTTGTGCTCACCAAGGCTGCATTTATTTGATCAAAAAAAAAAAAATCCAATAAAAACAGTAGTATTGTAAAATATTATGATTTTAAAATAAATGTTATTTTTGTGTGTGTACAATAAGACCCAAATCAGCAAATTAGAATGGTTTCTGAATGGCCATGTGACATTGCTGTAGCTTTGGCAAGCATACAAAAAAGTTACTGACCCCAAACATTTGAATGGTAGTGCAGATGTTGCAGTATTCTTGATTGATATCATCTGTGGGGAATACGATTAATGTAAATTTGTTGAGTTTTGTATTGATTGACTCTTCACCAGAATACAGGAAATCGTTACCCAAAAAAAATAAATAAAAAATAATAGTTTTGTCATTTACTCAATTACTTTTTGTAATAATAATTCTAAATAATAATGTCTAGGTCACTGTTTTCATACAATTATAATAGGAATTATAGAATTATAAAAGCACAAACAGTTGAGTACTGCTGTTTAATAGACAATTCCTTGTCTTCCTCGCGGGTCATTGTACATGCTGTCTGCCTGCTCTTCTTGTACTGCATTAATGTAGCACCAGCAGATGACGTCTTTACAGATATGAACGTCACAGTGCTGCAAGACAACATTCTTCACTCATACTACTGTTTCCACCAATCCACTGGGTGTATAAAAATGTTCCCAGAAAACCAGCTTGTGTTTCTGGTAATGTAGGAACACTTATTGATGATAATTTTTTGTGTGTTGAGTTTTGAGTATGATTCATGGTGTATTTAGAGAATATACAGTATATACAGTCTGCAATTGATCAAATCCAGATTTGTGTCTAAGATTGTGTGCAGCTCCTCTCTGTCCTTCAGTACTAGTTTATTTCAAACATCTTATCCAAGCAAGCCAAGGGAGTGGATTTTAAACATTAAAAAACTGCATTGTGTGTTTATATATATATATATATATATCCATTCCAAAGGGAGCTATGCTCTACATCAGTAAGGCCAAGTTCACACTACACAAATTTAAACGACAGCGGATTGCTGTGCTGTTCAGACTACATGACTTGAGTTTCTATCTTTAAGTTATGTGGTGTTCACACTACGTAAATGATCCACAACCGGGGGTTACACACTACACGAGCTGACAACAACTCTATCAGCCAACGGCTCTATCTGGTCCTTAAACCATGTTTTGTCACAAAACCGCACGTGAGAAGCAGAATGGCCATGACGCGAAACAACACGTGAAACAGTTGTTCATTTGAAAATGGACGTCAGGAAGAAATTGGCACTGCAAGCTGTTTGATGATCTGTTGTAAAAAAAATAAAAAATTTGGGATTGGATTATTGTCCAAACTGTTTAAGCCCTGTTGCTGCTGCTGTTTTTCGTCTGGTGACCTCAAACCATGCTTTGCTCTCTCATTGGCTGTAGCTTGTCATGACACCTGACAAGCCACGTGGTGTCAAGTCGGCCAACCGTTCTAGATATTGGACATGCTAGATATTTTCATCAGCGAGCCTCTTTGTTGCGTCGTTGTGTAGTTTGCACATAAAGATTGCAGAGTGCTGATCACCTGCTGATTTCCCCCCGATCACAGCCCAACCCGTAGGTGAGCTCTTTAACTTGCAAATCAGGCTTAAATCGGGCTTAAAATCCTTTAGTGTGAACTAGGCATAATAGTTTTCTTCCAGACATGTACACATCACAATATCCCACATTTAAATAAATCCAAAAAGATTGATGGATTGTACACTCAAAATCAGAGTGCATTGTGGGTATAAAGTATTGAACGAATGTAGGGAATGAAGTCGTTCGCTCAGAATTCGGACAGCACTACAAAATGGCTGACACCTGATGTAGTGCAGTATATAGGGGATAGGGAGCGGTTTCGGACACAACTAGAGATGGTAATCATAAACAAACCAGATGTTTTGTTTGTTGTTGTCATAGTAGCCCAGGCATGAGCTGTCAAGGCATAGCCTTTTCAGGAAATGGTGGTGGGGTGCAGCAGCTTATTTGCATTTAAAGAGACACAAAGACTACAGTATATTTTTGCTTCCAGCCAAAAAGGGGCATTTACAGCATGATCTGTGGGGTCTTTTTAGGCAGAAACTTCATAGAGACATTCTGTGGACACCTAAGACTTATGTTGCACCTTGTAAAAAGGGGAATAGTAGGACACCTTTAAGTATTTTAAGATGCAAATTACAAACAATAACATGCATACAATGCAAGAAAGATACAAATATTTTCAAGTACAGTACAGGTGGGTCTATGTAACTGCAACGTTCAAGTAAGAAATGGAATAAACAAATGTAAAAATAAAACACTGCATAGTCTTTACTGTGTTAATTAAATATGCATTGATCTTATTAAATCCACAAAAGTTATTTAACCTAGAGCAGTGAGTGATTTTCTGTTTTACTTACATTTTTTGATTCAAATTAATAGCATAGACATCAGTTTATTAGGCTGCTGTCACAAAATGCTGACACGCATCTGATTGTCTTCCAACAGTTTATGTTCACTTTAAGACATAACTGACTGTGTTTATGTGAACCTGTGTATTTGACAATTTAGGCACAATAAGAAATAAAAGAGAACTTGGTGCAGTACTCACACTTCGTGTGACAGCTGACTATCTGTGTCTGTCTGTACACTTTGGGCTTCATACTCAGAAAACTGTATGACAGAACATTGTGAGAGTAAAAATGTTTAAGAGTTTAAACTGGCAAGGATTTAAGTGCATGCAAACAATAAACTTTTGTGGTGCCAAAGAACTGCAGCCACGTAACTGCAATAGAAATATTAATCAAAAACTAAAATAATCATTAAAAAAAGCCATAGAACTGCAACTGATAGAATGCACTATAACACAATACCAATGATCTCTTCATGATGGCAGATCATGGACATTGTAACCATTCACAATCTAATCTAATGTCAATCTTATATTGCACACCCCTAGTGTAAATGGTATTAAAATTGTGAATGACTTGTTTGAATTCATAGATGTGGTGGAGCCAGAAACGGATGATGATTTTCCTGAGCCACTGGATCTCAGCCCCAGATATGAGAGGCCTCTGTCCCTGCTCTTCCAGCGCTCCGTGTCTGAAGACTCTGCTGGCTCCTCTGCCTCCACCACCAGAAAAGCCCATACTAGGTTGGTGTCAAACACACACACACACTCTCTCTCTCTCGGCTGACTTAAAGCTGCCCATATGTGTACATTTAAAGGTTGAGCAGCAAGTTTTTAATGTCGCCCTGAAGAGGGTGAGAGAGTTCGCACAAATACAGTGTGCTGATGAACAATGTTTGGACAGCAGAAAGTGTACAAGGGAGGGTCAGCAGGGTTTTAGAAGACAAAGAGGAAGTGCACATCAGGTCAAAGAAAGCCTCTAGTTGCCTGTATGTTTGTGTCAGTGGGGTGCAGTGGTGTTCTGAAAAAAAGTCCTCACTGTTTTCATGTTCCACTCTCACTTAATGTTGACACATTTTTCTGTTTAAATATTTAAAAATATATATATAAAAAAATCATAATTAAATGAATGTTCCTTTAATTAATGCAAAGTATATTTCTTATCAAGGTACATACAGATTACAGTTCACATTTGTTCCAAAATAATAACTGTAAGTAACAAATTTTGTGTGTGTATATACACATTTATACACCACGTGCATAATTATTAGGCACGTTGATATTCTGATAATAATTTTTTCCCAAGCACATTTTACCAATTCCATACCACATAAATCTTAATAACTACTATTACTTTTGTATTTAATAATTTATAAGTGATATATAATTGCCCATGAATGCTGGAAGAGAAAAACTCCTTATATTCAGGTGTGCAGAATTATTATGCATGTTTTCTTTTACAGATAAAATAAGCCAAAAAAGAGGTTTAAATCAGACTGAAAAGTCAAAAATTATTAAATCCCCATGAGAAATATTCTAAACTAATGCAATACAGAAATTGCAAAGTTAAGACATGACCATTGGACAGCAAAATGCTCACTGGGACAGCGTGGTCAGAAAAAAACAGGTGGAGAAGAAAAGACGCATGTTAACTGCAAAAGAATTAAGAATTAATGTGAAGAATTAGATGTAAAACCATCAGGAAACATTTAGTCTCAAGAACCACCATTTTCCAGAACTGCAACCTTCCTGGAATCTCCAGAATTACAAGGAGTCAGGTTCTCAGAGACTTTGCTTGGATAAAAAATCCTAAAAAAAATGACCCTCATTTAATAAGAATAACATACTGATGTTTTGTGAAATACATGGACTAATTTTTTATAGGATTTATGGACAGATAAGTTGAGAGTCACTCTTGAAGGACCAGCACCACATCCTCTTGTACCACTGCTTGAAGAATTTATCTTCAAGAATCTGGCAGTAAGTTTTAGGAGCTCATTTTTATTCCATCTCCTGTCCCTGAAAGAATTGCAGAATTGACTAAAAATGAGTTTCTAAAACTTACTGCTAAATTCTTGAAGATAAATTCAACGTGCCTAATAATTATGCATGTGGTGTATATATTTATATATATATATTTATATTTATTTATTTTAAATAGTCAAAGCTCGGTAAACACTGCAGGTGACACGATGGGTCATGGAAAAACTGATTTGTGTATGCAAACTTTTTTTTTTTCTGCACCGTTGGGAAACACGCATATGCTGCCAGTCAAAAGTTGTTTCTTTGAACCAAAATTTTAGCACCAAATCATCATACTAAAATTATTTCTGAAAGATCATATGACACTGAAGACTGTTGTAAAGGCTGCAGAAAATTGCTTTGCAGTTGAATAGCAGCTTTGCCATCACAGGAATAAGTAACATTTTATATGATACAAAAAAAGTAAAACAGTTATTTTAAAACATAATATTTCACAACATCAGCCTACTGTTTTACTGTATCTTTGGTCTTGGTGAGCATAAGAAACTTCATGCTCTTTAGAGACATTAACATTTAAAAATGTAATCATTATTATAATATGTAACTATTGTAACAATTCAGTTTAAAACGTACACATAACATTGTTGAAAATCCCAATTACAGGATTTTGCAGAGTAGCAGAATCCTGTTGCCAACACTGGCACACAAGCATGGCCGCAGCTAGTGTGCTTTTTTTGCACACTGAGAGAAAGCAATGGAGTCGGGGGGAGGGGACCGCTGAAACCCTGCTGCTGTCATTAGTAAAAGGAGGGGGCGAGAGAGTGCTCTCTTTTGGATTCCCAATTAGCACAGATTGTGCACTCGCTAATGTGCAGTACCATTTGCAAAATGTGCAAGGAGGAGGAGAGAGACCCCCCTTCAGCCAGTACTACATGTGCATCACATCTCCCACTGACAGCAGCTCTCATGGGCCGCACAACAAACAGATAAAGAGTGTTTGAGAAAATAAATGAACTCTAATGAGAATGCGCTGACAGTTATATGACATTTCACAAAGATTTCCCACAATCACAATGTTTATGAGCAAAATATTGTCAGCAAATACAATTAAATACAAATATTCTTGCTGAGAAGCCCAATAACAAAAAACAACCAAAAAATCATGAATGTTTAAACGGGCGACCATGTGTTTAACTACAACAAAGTAGCTACATTTCAGTGCAGTTTAGTTACTAATTGTTTCTCAGGGTGACATCTGTACAAGAACATGCATGGCTCCACTTTTGCATCAAGATGGCAATTAATTTACTCGAAAATGAGGCAGTTGGGTAATTTATTTCATTTATTTTTTGCATAGTTTTGTCAATAATACAACAAAAGTGAAAAGTCTTGACCAAAACTGAAAATTCTGGATCTACTGGGCCAAAATCTGTCTTCATTCCAGGTAAATGAACCAAGGCTCTATGCAATATATTTAATTTTGCATATTTACAAATTTAATTGCTGCCTTCACTATCACATTGACTTTCACATTAGGCCAAATGACAATGTATATTTTATTACGCTGTATCATGCTGCTCTAGCTTTCAACCAGTGTTTGAACAAAGATGACAGTTGTAGGTTGATTAGGAGCTCTTGTCATTCAAGGATGTTATATGCTCTCCCGTTATCCTATTTGAGTATGGTCTCCCAGTCTGGGGCACTGGGGCATGGACTGTAAACTAGTGCTGGGCGGTATACCGGTTCAAACCGAATACCGGTGTTTATTTTTGTTATGATATTAATTTTTTAAATACCGCAATACCGCAATAATGTCACTTAAACAACGTTCGGAACGCGACACTGTTTGAAAGGAGTCCCTTTTCACAGTTGCACTGTGGTGAGGGAACAGCTGTATGTGTTACTAAGCGTGAAAGTTCCGAAACTGAAGCTGTAGAACTAATAGAACGTGATGACACAGAAGAACTCATCCACAATATCCACACCGACCGCCACAAATATCTACCACCCCCTGCCATCAGCTCCCGCGTCTCTCACACACACACGAGCGCGACTTTAGCACTAGATTTAGCAACTTTCAGACCTTTTTAGCAGATTTTTTCCATAGAATATTCATACCGACAAACCTAGCGATTTTTTTGGATAAACCTTAGCTATGGTTCAGTTGGAAGATTTCGCCAGTGCTGTCCCGCGAACGCGAGGTCTGACTTTCCCGGAGAAGTGTCGCCTCTCTCGGCGTCTGTTCTGTGCAGTGAGCGGCAGAGAAGCA